TAATCAGCAGCTGTCTTTTAAACATTAAACTAGCATTGCTTTCATAGCAGCGAAATCCAGTTGAGCGGAGCGATCACGATTCATGGTTTTTAATAATGTAATAAATAAAAAATGTTTATAGATATAATACAAAATACAACTGTTTAATCAATTTAACTTATCAGTTTTGATCAGTTGCTTTTAAATTATATAGACAATTTCAAAAATTTAAATTGGTTTCGTATGAACGTTCCAAACTTGAAGTTGTACTTGTACTTGAAGAAGTACTTGAAGTTGATCCCAAAGAGCTTCCGCTCAGTAAAATTTAAGTATAACATTTTTTACGAACCTGAAAGCCCCTATTAATTCATAATCATAGGTGACCTATTGAGTATTTACTTCCGGGTTAATAAATCCAAGATATTGTAAAACTGAGTACTTTTATTAGTAGACTTCTCAAAAAAGACTACAGTCTATGACATTGTTTGGGTGCATGCACAAACATATTATCATAAATAAAAATTGTTGAAAATTTAAGTCTTCCACAAAAAATAATTGTTAAAAAATCTGTAGGTATCTATTTAATTTGGCTGGTAGAATAAGTTCCTGTATCATATGAATGTGTATTAATTAAACTTAACTAGATTTAAATACGCGTTGGAATTAAATACAAATGCTTGAAAAACTAAACTGCAGTTGGACGCATAAGAGCGAACTTGAAACATAAACGAATCATTGGATTGCAGCTTGTAAAATTACACAAATTCCATTACATCAGCTAAAACGAAAAACAATAACGTTTTGTTGACCAAATTAATTAACTTATTACACGCTCTAAGGGATGTAATTACGTATGAAAGCAATAAACCAAAATATCGCTGCATTATAAAAGATCAAAGGATTCCGGAACAGTTAATTATGGCAGCAAAGGCAGTGGTTCGTGTTAATAAATAAAGCAGATTTTCGGGAATGGGCACATATGACGCCTCGGGCTACAACCCTCCCCCGCCCTGTCTTGCCTCTTGTTTGATTATTTTTTGTCCAGCTGATTCCCCTCCGCCATTAAAAATATCCCCGGGTGGTTAATATCGGACTGGGCCGGGAGAGGACGGAGAAGTGTATATGACAACTAATACCATTTTATTATGTACTGTAGTTTCTTTTTTTTTACGCACCTAACGTAAAACGATATCTATCCTGGGTGCTACTGCTAGGTTAAGCTGCCCTTCTTGATTTATATTATAACCGCGTATCTTGCCTAACAGGAAATAGTTTTGTCCAACCGAATCCACGATTATTTTACACACTTTTAAAATAATTCTTTAAATTTTCCTGAAAAATTTACTTATGAACCACATAGTATTATTCTATCAATCTGTTATTCTACATAACCATTTTCTATACACAATCAATGGTGTATAATCAGTTACATAACTCTGTTCACTGAATGCGTGTTGCCATAACACAGGTGTGCATGTTACTCCCCACACAACGCCACCCCACATAAGCAAGATAGCGATTACCTCAGTTGTAAATGTTGTTAGAACGTATTTGCTTCACAAAGCGATTACGGCGAAGTAAGGACCATCAGTGTCGTTGAACGTGCGGGTTAAACGTCCCCCCCCCCTCCCCCACACTCTCTGTCACCCTTCTTCTCAACGCACAATTAATTCCACCCTCGCCGGCGACCGGGTAGTTTATATTGGGATGGAGATGGAATATTGCTACCGTGTTTGCGCATTGGAATATAAATGCTCGGAATGTTTACACCTTGTATGCTGTATACGTCGCACACCTAATCATTACGAGGCTAATGAATCATTATGTGTTAGAAAACAAAGTTATTTGGTTTTGGTGTAGTGATTTGCACTGTGTAAAAGGTTATACACCAATAAAAAGTAAGAATCCTCCTTAACGCATTCACGAGGGTCGCGAAGACAGATGACGAAACGCTGTTTGACAAAAATTATTCACGTAGATCTGTACTGCACGGTCACGGTGGTCATGAACTTGAGTAGCATACAGACGTGTAAAGTACAAGTATGCATCTAAATGTTAAAATCATATTCAGTGTATAACATGGTGGATATTCATTCACCCAAATACACCCCCAGATCGGCAAATTTACCGGCAACAACCTCCAACAACCTACTGACGTTGATTCGTTGAAATCTCTTCCTCGTATTTGATGCATCTCCCTGATAATATCTACCAATTTGCTCTGTATTTACTTGTGAATGTTATTGTATTGCTTCTAATTGGTTTTAGCGTCAATGATCTTCATGAAACTTAGCAGCTTTCCTGTATAAGTGGCTTCATTGATATAAAACACATACATGTATAAAACATGTGCTATTAATTAACTTCTAAAATCCAACAACAACCAATACACAGGACTCAGAACTTCAATCTATTGACACGACTCTCAAAAATGTCATTCACCTGCAGTGTAGGGTTACGGCAGTCAAGACAGTATCAAATATATCCTCATTAGTTGTGAAAAGCTGTCAGTAACTTGATATAAGCTCTTAAGTTGTGTTTGTGATTTGAACAGAACTAATTAATTCCATCCAGGGTTTGGCATGAGATTGGGGGGGGGGGGGTGAATCACTGGCGTAACAGCCACTTGAGGACGGATCCCTACGTCCCCCCTCACCCGGTGTACACTAGCTTGATATGTCTTGATTAATTGGGTATATGATTTACATAGTGCGCCACACCACCCCCTAGCAACAACCTTGCTGTTACAAACACATATCATGGGTTATATAGGTATAGTTAATATTTTAGAAGTAGTTAAGTTATCATTACGAAGATTCTGTATTATTTTAATCATTTACGTATAGTATCAAAGTGACCTAACACACGGGGTTTACATTGTTACAATGTTGAAAATTCACACATATGTAACCACGCATTTTCACACATATGTGATGTACCAATCTGATGATTTATTGTATAACAGTAAACGCGTTCTTTTACTTAAGATTAAGTTGTAAGGTTAAGGGAACTAATAAATAATAATTTATTTACATCATATAGTTGCAATACTTTTTCCTAGTGGGTAGACTAACTCGCAACCATTGAGCTGTAATTTGACAACTAATAAACCTATTTCCCTCCTTGTTATTTTGATAAATGTATGCCCAACATGCAATGACTCATAATACAGTTTATCCACAACTTTGACTTGCGTCCAAATGTAAAAACCCTTAATTAAAAAACTAAAAAAATATTTTTACATGTGTTTGTAAATAGGTTTAAAAAACAATTTAAGTGCAGTATAATTTTAACTGGACTTTTACAAACAAAATATAAATACTCGTGTATTATATAAGTACAAAGATAAATGTTTTAAAGCAATAAAACTCTTGATCAAGATTAATACAACGTTCCGACTCGATGTTATAATTTAAACGTCACCGTTTTTGAAATCGCCGAGGGGCTTATTTAAATAAACCGTATCAATTTTCGCTCACTGTTTTCTCGCTGCCTGACATGTTTATTTAATTAACTGGAAATAACATTGCTAGTTGGCAGATGACATCGCATCAGGAATGTGTCACTGTGTTATTGGAATGTAATCACAGACATATTGCGTTTACCCTTCCTCTCCCCCCCCTGAATACCTCCCCTCTCACCCTCCCTTCCACTGCCAGTAATCGGTTTTGTCGCTACAATAAAGTTAACAGATTCATTGATCTTTGATTTTGTGATAGCGACCTATCATTTTCAAAGTGCTTAACAGATTAGAATGTGGCAATTTCCGCACTATTAGCAAGCTACACTGGTGTATTCTTATGAAAGTGAATTTTTAAGTTTATATCTTAATCTATATCCACGATTTGAAATTGAAACATATTTTGTTCTCGGTCTTTTCTTATAGATTATGTTATGTCAAGCTAACCTACCTTTGGTGTCTATCGTTTTTCTTTAATTAATTGGTCTATTTAAGAAGGTGGGTTGGGATTATATTTGATCATTATATCGGCTGAAGTCTCTATAGTAGTAGATAGAGAAAAGAGGATAGGAGAAAAGAGTGTCCTAATATTTATAGGGCGGATTCATATCCACCATATGCGTAACCAATAATAGATTCAACATGTATAAGAAGATGGTTTATTAGTAACTTTATATTTTAAAAAGACGCTCGAAATTAATGTTTTGTAAATTATTAAATTGTTACTACACCGCGAGAGAAATAGGAGAATTTGTGAAAGTTGTGTCCATGAGATGACTCAGATAGTCAAAAGTTCTAAACAGCTCGTTTACTCTTCTCTAACAAGTAACCTAAACTCAAGTAAATGGCTAGTTTGTAAGTAATAGATTCGCACAACAAATCTGTGATGCGTGATCGGATGAATGTGTTTGTAAAGCAATTAGCTACAATATTTGAGGTGTTTGTGCCGAATGCGCGCGCGCCACCAGAGATCAATATACAAGGGAGGAGAGACAGTTAGTTAATGTTGAGCCATCAGCTGTAAATGAACACAGACTGATCAGTTAAACCCTCTCACAACTGTTGTCGGGGGGGGGGGGGGGGGGTAGGGGGGGCTCCCCCCCCTAGTGCTGCCAATCAAGCGGTTTCCTCCCTTATAAATTGCTTCTCCCTGAGTGTTCTTAGGAAATAACTCGTTTTCTTTTTTACTTTCAGGATAAGGTAAAAATTAATTTAGGTGATAAAGACAATTCTCTGACATCTATGTAGCAAAATACCTTTACATTTTTTTCAGTCTTGTTACTTCTTTTGCTGGCTTATGCTGTACTGATTGTTGGCATTCTTGTGAGTGTTTATGCCACACATGTTTCCGCATGTTGAGAGTTAACATATGAACAAGTTGTTGCGGACCTTCGCTTCTTGTGTGTGAGTTCTGAGCTTGCAGATAGACTATCCACATCCAAGCGTCTTTTACTGACAATTGATTGTCAATAAAACTCCCGCACGATTACACAACAGTGTGCTTGGGGCTAATATACAAGTATGTTGAGTCGTAAAATACATGTATTGTCGCTTGTTACAGGTTAAGATCTGGTTCCAAAACCGGAGGACGAAGTGGAAGAAGCACGACAACATCAGTAACGCGGAGGCGGCAGAGCACAAGCCGGCGGGCGGCAAGCCGGAGGCGGCGCCTGGAGGCGGTACAGTTGGAGGTGGGACTACTGGAGGTGGCACTACTGGAGGTGGCACTACTGGAGCTGGCACCCCTGTCAGCGACAAGAGATCCGCCGGCAGTAGTGAGGCAGAGGAACACTCGTCCTTGGATGGCTCCGAGAGTTGCTTCAGTGTGGACTCCAAGCCCCCTGGTCCCCTGTCCCCCAGCCCCCCGGCTATCACGGCCCCCCTCACAGCGCTCACGCCGCCAGCACCGTCCCCCGTCCCTTCCATACCACCAGAGGAGCCCCCCAGCTAACTAACAACCCCCCTCTGAACTCTCGTCCTGTCTCTTCCTCGGGTACAGGCCCGACTGTAACTAGTGTTAGTGTTTCGACTAAACCTAGAGTAAGCCAAAACTTGTAATATTCTAATACAACTTGGGTCGATAGTCGGAGTGATGTTTATGTACCAAGTTAAATGCCAACACAGTTATAGTTAATTTTGTTTCGGAATCGCATAAAGTATACTTAGAATTACTTCATAGTAAAAAAAAAAACATGAATATAATATGTTTGCATTCCAATATGCTAAGAACCTGAAGTTTTAATCTAATAACATGTCATATTGACGTATTATTTCAAACTATACAAACCTGTATTCACTTCAATTGTTTATCTTGACACGATGTTTATATTATGACTGGATTGTACCCCCTGTAGAATGTATTCCGACACATCACTCCGACGACGCCATCAAGTTTGACTACTTATGCCTTGTCTCACTTTCCTTAGTGATTTTGTGATAACGAACTTCTTCTCGCTGTAGGCTAGAGTCGGTTGATCTATTCATTTCTACTTAAGTATACACAGTGAGTTTATACCATTTGCATTGAAGCATATCATTTGACACTGTTGTAGGCGTTTTCTGCCGAGTCGTGGTCAGATTTAGGTGTTATTCGGTTCATGTTTCTATCAAGGTTTATATTTATAAAATATACGATTGTATATGATAGTTTTGTAAATTTTACTTTTTCTGACGAGTTAGAAATTTGTACTAGTATTTATACGAGCTCTTCTCTGTATAGATGAAACGATTACAGGAATACATGTGACTAGTGTACAGATAGTATAGGATGTAACATATTATGTACGATGCTCTATATTTTTATTACAACAAGTTGTATTTTTGTCGGCTGATTCTGTAGATCTCAGCAGCGTACATCAGAGTCTGTTTATTCATTAAGTGTCATCATAGCTGTTTGGCTAATATTTGGTATATTCATGTGTTGACTTATATTTTATATTGCATATTTTGTTTAAGGGTCTACAAATGTACTAATAATTGTCAACTGGGTTGAAGATTTTTTTTCATAATTTGGTTGTCACTTTGGGTCCCAATTTGGTTGTTACTTAGAAATTATATCAAATCCCTTTCTATATGCATATGTAAGATGATATTGCTAAATTAAAGAAAATGATGACTTCTACATGATTAGAAAACTTTAATGTTCTTGATGGTCAAAATATAAATATAATTTACGTAGAAAGTAATGAGTGCTATCAATTTATTAATTCAAAATAAATATAAATACCCTTTATTAAAATTAATAAAAAACATTCTTTTATCATAATACCTAACATTTCACTGAACAAGTTGGCTATAACGGAATTATTAAATATGTGAAAACACCATACTAAATAAACAATCATTGCCGTTTGTACTGATACTTTTATTTACCATCAATTAAATGTACAGTATAATGTTTAAAATATAAAGTTTTATTGAAAACCATCTATTTAAATCCACTCCGTTTTTCAGACAGAGATACTTTCTGATTTTTGTTTGAAGCTACTTATTTCTGATACTCTGAAGCGATTCTATAAATATAGATAGTTGATTGACGTTTTAGTTCCATTCTAAGACTCGAAATATTTTAGCTTAATTCCTACAAAACAATTGAATGTGGGTATATCAAATTGGCATATTTTATCAATATCTCATAATGTGAAGGTAATAAATTATTCATTCAACTTGTATTTACGTGTTTCGAGTGTTCATCAATTTGATCTTTATGTGTTCCCGAAGACCATGAATGTTGTATTACATTTTTCATTATGTTTTCATGTTAGTTGCAATAAATGAAATGTGCAATTTACTAATGTGTTTCTATCCCCATATCATATTTCTTGGGTACAGTCCATTTTTATTTTCTAGGCCGTTATTTAGATAATAAGCGATAGATTTAACATTATTTCTGAACAAAGTGTCTTTGTTAAATAACACTAAATGCAATAGGCCTACATAGCATCGCCTTGCAAAATTATTCTTATTTTCCTACCGCCTACAAATGTTTGGATGCAGACACATGCAGCATTGCAGTACAGTCGCGTCCCGTGATGGACTTGCAGGCGCTGTACGATAGCTCAGGCCTTAATACTTCTAACCACTTCTCCTAACGTTATTTTCACATGAGCCAATTATATTGTAAATTGTAAGATTAGTAAAATAGAAAAGAATATTGATTCTTGCTTTGCCTCCACTGCTTACATCGGAAATAACTGATAACTCATTTACAAAATATAATTAACCTGAGATTGAAATATAATAATACAAATTGAAACAAATAATTACTAACTCAGAATCGGTAATTGTAAATCCAACATTTTCTTTCGTTAACAAATAGCAATAAAGTAATAGTATTTCATAAAACTGTATGTATCAGGATTTATAAGATGCATGAGATCAATGATAACTGATAATAGTTACTTTACAGTAACTGACCTGATACGGCAGATCCTAGTAATCAAACAAGTAAATAGACTAAAATTTCCCCCCAAATTATTGTTAAGATTTATTTTATACTAGTTTCTACCTGTTGCTTCCCCAGCAATTGTATGACCATAAAAATCATACAACATAAGAAATAAACAGCACGATAATGCAAATCAAAACAAGCGACACAAATCGGATGCTTGGTGGTTTTCTAATTGTTTAACTTTAACTTTTTATTGCAGTATATACCTTTAGTTCTTTCACGGGTTGGCTAATAGTTATCCGTAGTCCAGAAGTTCCCCTCAAACTGCTTTCTTACTTCTGTGCTATCAGTAAATACAACTATTGACATTTGAAAATTAAAAAAAAAATAGAACCTAACAAAAATGTTTAGTTGAACCAGTTGTCGATATTCTTTGATTATACTCAAATACCCATAAGGTAATAGTTATACTGTAATATATATACTATAATATATATACTATAATATATAATAGTTACCCATATAGGTAACTGAAGAGCCTCTGTGACAAAGGCCTAAAGAAATTTCAGCTACAAACAAAGTTTTTGGCTCTAGTCCCAAACACCCAAACATACATGCTAACATATGTACATGCATAAGCTTTCTGATCTTAGTATGAACATTGAGTATAAACATAACTTGAGTTATGTTTATACTCAATGGTATGATTCAGTAATGAAGTTGTTCATCATAATATTGTTATTGAGAATGTTGTATAAATGTTATTGGCCGCTGAAGTTGATGGCTTGTACCTTATTAGATTTGGACTCTTCCTACAAAACATTAAACTATTTCCGACCAAATGTCCGGACGTAGCATAAATTATTCTCGTAAACATATCAATCCTATCTATATTACACAGTGTTATTGGCCGTCTTATAATGCTCATTATAACAGTCTCCATAGTCCAGACTTGTATATAAGTGATCAATTTAGCGTTTTTTTAATTATACATCTATGTATCATGTTTTATTTACAGACAATAGTACAATTGATTAAAAATAAGTGATTTTAATTTTAATACTTCCTCTCTGCGTTCAAGAGCTAAGCTCATTTTGCAGGCTTGAGACTGCCAATGGCCGCATTAAAAGTATTGACCCTCAAAGCCCCAGAGGGAGGGAGTTTGGCAGGTTGAATAAAGCTAAGGTTAAAAATCTGGAAAAGCTCAAGAGGTAATACTATTGGAAATGAGGTAGGGAAGGGTATGAGGGACTTTGTTTGGTAAAGTGTGGTAAGAAAGGTTAACAAGTCCAGAGGACAGCATGGTGGGTATGGTAGAAGAGGGAGTGAGATGTAAGGAGGTCAAGAAGGCTACACAAGAAGATTGGACGTCTAGGAGGAAAGGTTAAAAAGATGAAAAATTGTGTACGGGGTACGTGAAATACAGTGAAGAGGTTTAGGTTCAGATTAATATGTTAGGAGCAGAGGTCATATGGCCAGAACACTTGATAAACTAAGAAGGGAAGATGACTTTTGGCTTTGGGAGATTTAGGGATTTTGTTTTGGATTAATAGTAGACCGAGTGATGGGGATGCAGAGAAAAACACCAAAGTCATGGTGGAAGACTTTACTTGCTTCCACCATGACGTGGGGAGATCTGGGGCCGAGAGTCTGGAATATTTCAAATTTAAGATAAATTTTTATTCTGCTTTCACAAAATAAACCTTTTCACACATTTGAAATATTCATAGTGAAATTTGGTTTCCAGGCAACAAATCAAATGTACAATCACATGAAGTTATATGAGCTACTAAGGACTACTAACTTTTGATTCACACTACTTATACTATGAATGGGCGTATTTTGGCAGACTCAAACTGACTCCAATTTTGTGTTCAGTACAATATTACAATAATTTGACATCAAAATGCTATATCTACCAAAGCCACTCCTGGCTTGGCTGTAAATTAATGTTCAAACGATTACTCAACGGCACCAGGCAAAAGCTCACTGCTTGGTCTGAAAATATTCTAATTAAAGATGTAATTAATTGTTGTGGAATTATCAAAGTGGACTCAGACCGATGTGAAGCTTTGATCAAACTTGAGCCTCCAATAGACCGTGGAGGTCTTCAATGAATTATTGGTGTTTTTAATTAATTATCGGGACACACTGTAAATTGGCCACCAGTTTATAGGTTGTGCGAAAGACATTTCCACTAAAAGGGTGTTTTCTTGACTGTAGCAGCATAGTTTCCTTGTGAGTTGAAACTAACCATAAACTTGGTAAGCTTGGGAAACTAGTGATCGGCGGGGATTGAACGATTGATCACGAGAACACGGTTCTACACAAGTGGGATTCCAGCCACTCTCTATTATAAAACGTTATGATTTCTTGTCATCGGTTGATCTAAAAATAATTATTGCACAAAAAATAAAAGTGCAAAACTACAAATTAGCTTATTTACTTGAACTTAATTGCGGCTGAACTACCTAACTAGACTTACTTAAAAAGCTTCTTTGAAGTAGAGTTGTTCTTTGACTTATAAGGTACAAAACAATAATGCAAAACTGCATTAAACCTGCGTTAAAAATTACAAAAAATACTGCAAAACTGCATGAAACCTGCGTTAAACATTACAAAACATTTAGCTTTTTACGACGAAAATCACCAAAAGTTTTATTTCATAAAAATCTATCGTTCGTTAAAATAAATAATGTAGGATAAATGAATTACACTAAACTACTTAAAGCGCCAATGATATGACTGGTTAATATTAAACGAGCTGAAGCAAATCAATTGGATGTTGCGATTTAGTGGCAATTTCAAATTAATGATTAATTAATCTCACGTCGTCATGGGAGCGAACCGCTGACAAGCGTTGTGCGCTTAACTGTGTTGTGCTCAGCCAAAATACGCTTTATTGGACTAACTGTCGCTGTCGTAGTGATATAATCTGAAGTATACGTGGTGCAGTTATGGGCTATGTTATCGATACATAATCAATTCATTATTGTAAGTATTTACTATGTACTACCAAATTTACCCGCATTTCGAAATCATGGGCCTATGGCTGAATACATAAGAATTTAAAGGAGAGCTCAAAAATATATCGAATGGGGAATAAAACTATAATTATTTCGGGCAGACTTTGAGAAATTTGCCTATTAGTAAAAATGCATTCGATTTTTATTCATAGATTGTATAAGTGAGTAGTCTTTTAAATTAATTGAAATCCTTGCAGGTAATTTTTACAGAAAGGACTTACTCATAGAATATATTAAATTTGATCAATAACATGATTTACAACAACTTTTGAACGAGAATTTTTACAGAAATGGGAGTCATACAGTTTTGTTTAGAATTTAAAGGGTTACAACATACTAATTAAAACACTCTTAGTATTCAACCCTTTTTACTAATGTACAGCACCGTTACCAATAAATTCTTGACATTATCTTTTTCGATTCCCAAAACAAGCGTTTTGGAATTGTAGGCTAATACATAATTAGGCTAAATAGTTATTTTCCATATATATCATAGAATATAAATGTAGCTTTACGTAGTAGAGCTCGGCTTTCCGGGATTTAAAATAAAATTAAAGAATAATTTACTTTAAAATGTAGCGTCTGTACCAGTTTTAGTGTTATGTTGCTGAATTATAATAAAATGTAAATAAACAACGGTTTC